GGCGTAACTCTGTGTGTGACCTGGTGGTCTTTCACTAGGCCCTCTCCTCCTACACATATATTATATTGTTGTCCATGTATTGTGTACAATATGGTAATAATAAATAATAAGTCTTTAACAATATTAAGTATTTTGAACCTCGAGTGCAAGCTACTAAAGGATTTCACGACACAGCGATTGAACGTATATTCAGCATATTGAACGTATATTCAGCATATTGAACGTATATTCAGCGTATTGAACGTATATTCAGCATATTGAACGTATATTCAGCGTATTGAACGAAATATTCAGCACATTGAACGTATATTCAGCACATTGAACGTATATTCAGCACATTGAACGTATATTCAGCACATTGAACGTATATTCAGCACATTGAACGTATGTTCAGCACATTGAACGCATTTCAGACGTGCGACAGTCGATGGTGGAGACTGTGGTGCCGCGTCACGAGTCCGCCCACGTCCTGGTCGTCAGCGGAAAATACAAGGGGAAGGTGAGCGTTCGTGCTGCTCGGCCATTAACAGCGGTTTCACTCTCAGTCGCGGAAACAGACACGAATTGTAGGACAGCTACATCCCGCCGACGATAACAAAGGGGTTTATTATTTCGCTCTATCTGTTGTGGATATAAGTCTAAAAGCCCAGTCAGTCCCGATTATGGGAAAATTGACGTGTCACTTCAACAATTCGGGAATGTCGATTTGGCGATTAATGCACGATGGCGTGACTTCACCTTCTCACTTCTTTGTTTCAGATCGGCGCGGTGTTGTCACGGGACAAGAGCCGGAGCGAGGCAACCGTACAGTTCCTGCTGGAGCGGGACTGTGTGAAGGCGCTAGACTACGATGCGATATCTGAATACGTCGGCGAGACGAGCGACCTCTACTGAGGAACTACGCACGTCGACTTGTGTTTCTGTTTAGTACAACGAGAAAGACAGAGAAGGAAGGAAGGGATGGATGAAGAGTGAGATAGAGAGGGAGAAGAAAGGGATGGAGAGAGGGGGGATGGAGATAGTGTGAGAGAGGGAGAGGGAAAAAGAGAGAGAGAGATGGGGAGAGAAAAAAAGAGAGAGAGATGGGGAGAGGGAGAGAGAGAAATCCTAAATACAAATGTAGATAAGAGCTAAGATGTGGTTTCTGCGTTATTACATCTTTATTTAAATGTATAACGCACCGCTCTCTCTACCGATGACAGACAAGGATCAATAAAGCTCATGATGACGTTGAAGGAGGTTTCTATGCTTATCTCAAACATTTTTGTATACATGTACCTTTGCATCATGCTTCTTCAACAATCTTCCGTTCGATTTCACAGTTCTCGCGTATCGATTATTGTACAATTGCATGTTTTGTAGTATCACGTGTGTGTATATATATATATATATCGCTACGTATATTGTCACTATGTATATGTGTATATATAGAAACAACGTAGGTTTGTAAAAAAAAAAACCGTAACGCAGTACGTTTTGTAAAATAAAAGCCAAAATATTTTGTAAAGAAACGAACTACCAAGGTTCTTAGTGTTGTGTCTAATGCAGAAACTCACTGCCACTTATAATAAGAGGTTTAAGTGCAAGAGGTTATGCTAACAGTCACTGATTAGAGGTGTTGTTCGCTAGGCGAGACGTTGACAACGATCTCGTACCCTTCATGATCATGTACAAATAAAAATATACGACGGGACAGCACGTAATTTCCTAGTAATATATTCCTCAGCTGCTTTCCTTCGTGTTCGGCATACTATCCGCCGCAGCGGTAGCGCCCTCTGCTGCACTGGTAGCGCCCTCTGGTGCACCGTCTGACTTGCTCGCACTATCTTCCGCACTCTCATTGTTGCCGTTTTCCGTGATCTCGCCGTCGTCATCGTTGCTGTAGTCTTTGTACAGTTCTGGGTATTTCGACATGCACATGTGCATATCACGGAACTCCTCGATGCAGTCCGATCCCTTCGGTTCCGCCCGGCTGTCGTGGAAACAAGAGAACGCGCTGCGGAAGGGTACTCCGCACGGACCCGTTGCCATGCCTCCCAGGCAGGGACAGTTCCAGTTTATCTCACCACTCGGTAGAATCAGACCTGCACACGCACGAATGAAGCTTGCATTAATTCGCGACAATGGAAAGCTGTGACAGGTCCACATGTTTGTACAGAACTTTGCGGCATATTTATCACTGCTAGCTGGCAAGAACGACGACGTATGAACGTATCTGTATCGGCAAGTTTCAACGCTCGGTCACAATCTATCAACTAATTTTAAAACTAGCTGTATAGTTAGGCAGTATTATTTGTCTCATTCACTATTTATCTTTCGAGTATAACGGCAAGCCAACATGCTTTGCTAGACGCTAAGGGTGGTCACTGCCAGAGTGTTTTGCATCCTCAGTGCTTCGTTTACATCCCCGTGATAGAGAATGCATGAAGGATTTACTATGTGGCTACGTAGATTAATATATTACCCGGTTCATCGTCCAAGTCATCCATGGACATGTTGATGTTTGAAGCACTCGTCGTCGTGTGATCTTCTTTCGTCACGAACATGATGACATCTTTTCCTGGAAGACAGAAAAGCATGACTCAGCTTTCCACTTTTCTTTCGATTCATTTTAGTAGACTGCTTGTTATGAATAAATGATAGAATCAGGCTGCAGACATTGCAAGTCGCTAGATCGATATGAATGCCAACTAGTAACATGCCGACGCTAGTTGCCTATTGATTAGCGAAGTTAATTACTAATTAGTGCTAACGACTAGGATAAAGCCTAGCAGTAGCACACTATACGGTACTACTTAGTAAAGTTAAAATACATGCGGAAACAGCATTATTACGGCGCAAGTGTCATGCAAATTAAAGACAGCCTACCCTCCTTCCTGCAGTACGACATGATTTTGGCTGCAAGTCTTCTGTCACAAATTACAAACTGTTTGCAGACGTTCAAGTATAACCTTCACATTCGGGAAATTATTATTTAGCGATTTTCTACACTCGCGTTCTTGCACGACAAGTGAGCATCGCTTCTCGCAGCGCCATCGCTGTAAACAACCCGGGTATTTTCTGTTCAACTATAGAATGAAGAGTGGTTCAACAGTATGCCTATGGTTCAACTATGTCTCAGTGTCTGTCACATATGTCATAATATGATGTATTTAATAAATGATTAACTTACGGCTTATGTAGGCATTTAGCATTTATATTATCATCAAATTGTATTACTCTTGAACGTACCGGTACCGCGACACCCGCTAGGCCGTAGGCGCTAGATTGGTAAGACTCGAAAACAGTGCTAGCCAGTACGGCACAATATAGTTTAGTTACGAGTATTATTACATTAGGCTGATTAGCCAGGGCATGGACCATGAATGATGGTCATATAAACGCTGACCATAATTCATTTTCGCAATGTACTACAGTACTGTGTACAGCTGAGAGGTTCTATGTCCCCCAGGGTACTGCCAGAACGTACCCTGGTACCAGAGCATATAAATCAACGTGATTTATATGCTCTGCTGGTACTATCTAATATGCCGGACCGTACCTCGCCTACTCCACTAACTAGTCTATGGAGTCGCCTACGCCTACTCCCTAACCCTAACCCTAACCCTAACCATATCAGATAGTTACCAGGGTACGTTGCGGTATACCGGACCGTACCCAGGGTACGTTCCGGCAGTACCCTGGGGGACATAGACCCTATGAGCTACAGGCCATGTGCAAATGAGGACAGCTCTTATAGGTGGTGTACAACAGTATCGTATCGTATCGTATATTGTCCCACTCTTGTATTTCGCAAGGCATCACTTCTGGTGAAGGTGCGAGGATATTCTGGGAATGTGAACTTTCATCTCATCATTTTCATTAATTTGTACCTCCAGCATTTAATTCTGCTAATCTTATTCTTTGATCCCTATATTTTAGTAATTTCCTCACGAGGTCGGAATTAAGTAACTTGGTATCGTCACATTTCCAGTCTTCAATGGACTCCCCTTTATTTATATCCCCATATGCAAAGCCATTATATAGATGTAACAAGTCTTCTTTTTCTCTCCCACTACACAAGTCACACCCATCATGGTCCTCCTTCTCTGGTGGAGAGACTTTCTTCTGGACTTTGAAGAGAAGAAATATATGTAAACGGCAGAAACAATTTTTGAAATATTTGTTATCAGATGTTGCGGTCAAATAATATAGTGTATTATGACATCATTAAGCTAAAGCAATACTTGCTGAATATTTATAGAAATGAGAAGAATGCATCAACATTTCATAGAAATTCATGAAAGCTTATGTTAGAATGTACATCAAGAGTAGATAATAACACATGTGTGTTATTATCTACTCTTGATGTACATCTATTCTGCTGTAAACAACTTAACACATATCATATTTTACATTATTTCATATATATTATAGTTGGATAAATATATACTTTTCGCTGGGCTATTCAACCATTCAATTCATTGTAGTTTTTGACGTAGTGTACATTATGTTCATTAGTTAGTCTGTGGTACAGTAGATGGCGCTACGCGGTATTCTGTCACAGAGCCGTATATAAAGATTCGTCTATAATATATACGGCTCTGATCTGTCAGTGTAACACTAACACTAACGGTCTAAATAACTAACTGTACTCTATTTGGTTACACATATCTATCTTCAACGTGGAAAATATACACAAAATAGTCGTTCAACAGTTAAAAACTAAAAAACTAAATAAAAATTCTCTCCATGAATTAGTGAATCGGTCATGTATGCCTTCCCCCTGCTCACACCGGATCCGATTTCTTTGCAGAGTTCCTAGATCAACCGTAAGTCGCGAGAGAGGGAAACCAGCGCGCGATGGCCAGCGAGGAATGTCTAAGGAAGATCTCGACGGCGTCAGGGCGGAGTTTCTACCTGCTCGTCGAGGTGAAGGGAGCGGAGGTGGAGGCCGTCACGATCACCCTCGCTGACGGACTGAACGCGTGGAGCGCAGAAGGTGGGCATCGCCATGACAACAACTACGCGCCGAGGTTATCGGTGGTGCGGCAGATGACGCATTGCTGCGACGGCGGCGCGGTAGTTATGCATTGAGCCGAATTCGAGCCTGTCCAGAGGATTTTTTAGATTTATTTATTTCGATAATTAACAAAGCATACATTACAACGATAAGAGCATAAATAAACAATATGCAGCTAGATAATTATTGAGGATGAAAACACAAAAAGTGACTAGCACACTTATTTCCATTGTGGACCTTTAAAATAACATAACATTGAGGGGCAGTGAGTGATATGATAGGATGGGCAGTGAACTTCTATATCAGTGAACTAGAGATATGGTTAGGTTATGGTTAAGTTAGGCTTTTGGTTAGATTAGGATTAGAGTTTAGGTCAGAGGTCAAGAGGTTGGAGTTGCACAGGAATTGGTCTCATTAGCTTGATCGATGACATACCCTACCTTAGATCTATCGTGGTTAATTAGCTCATCTGACGCAGTCACGACGATAATTGTTGCCTGCCTGAATATACTTGGATTTTAGCCTGTAAATTTCAGCATCTCAATGGAATTAAGTTATCTCTACTTTCTTGACTTCTCACCAATGCACGAAGGGTGATGCCATCTTTGATTATTGATTACACTAGCACGCGCCATCTCGCGGCAACTATAGGCCTAGTGATACATTACGACACGAATATATAAGACAGTCGAGCAGGTATGAAGTAGGATGCATTGTTAGGGTTTAGTTTTAGTGTTAATACCTATGCTACACAGTTTTGATGATGACGTAGTCGGTTTAGCGATAAAACAGGCTTTCAACCTTTTGCAGAAACGAAGGCCAGTACAGTAGAGCAGCAGACCTCAGATGAGCACTGTCGCTAATGCGGCACTTGTTTTTGCTCTATCGTGTTGATTTAAAACATACTGCTGACGTTTCGGCTCCTAGTACTACTCTACCTTGCAATTTATAACTCGCATATTTCTGTATCAGCTTTTCTAGTTCTTGTATCTGCAACGCGATCGTCACGTCCGCATTTTTGCTTGCAGTCAACGAAGATGCGCTGGGCGAGATGGCGGATAGTCACAAGATGGACTACAGCGCGTATGCTAGTCAGACACGGGAAGCTTTGACGGGACGATGGTCCCAGCCTGACTCCGCCATACTGTACGAGACGCGAGACACGGACGACGGGGACATAGAGGTACATGCTGCGTGGATCTATGGTCACTCATTATTCTACACGCGCAGTGAAAAAAATACTCGGGGGCTCGGGGCGATTTAGCCCCCGAAATGCCAAAAAGAGCCCCGGAAATGCCAGAGCCCCCGGAAATTTGCATAGAGTTCAATGCAAACCAAATTTTAGAGTGCTATTTTCATGCACGCGAGCTTGAAAAGTAGCCCCTGAAAAATAAATTTTATTTTTTTCCCTGTACACGCGTCATTTCTCTGATGAACGACGTTTTAATTCAAAGCCTAATCCAGGGATTAGGGTCATTCCATGCTGGCGATTGCTTAATTCTATGCTTTCCGTCGCTCCGCGATGGACGTACTCCGCGATGGACGTACTCCGGCGATGGACGTTACTCCCGGGACGGACTACTCCGCGACGGACGTAACTCGCGATGGACAGATGGACGTACTCCGCGATGGACGTACTCCGCGATGGACGATGGACGTACTCCGCGACGGACGTACTCCGCGATGGACGATGGACGTACTCCGCGATGGACGTACTCGATGGACGTACTCCGCGATGGACGATGGACGTACTCCGCGACGGACGTACTCCGCGACGGACGTACTCCGCGATGGACGATGACGCTACTCCGCGATGGACGATGCGACGTAAGTTTTTTGTTCCGCGGCGATGGAACTGATGGACGTACTACCGCGACGGACGTACTCGCGATGGACGATGGAACGTACTCGCGGATGGACGTACTCCGCGATGGACGATGGACGTACTCCGCGATGGACGTACTCCGCGATGGACGATGGACGTACTCCGCGAATGGAGCTGTACTTGCCGCGACGACGTACTCCGCGATGGACGATGACGTACTCCGCGATGGACGTACTTCGGACGGACGTACTCCGGCGATGGACGATGACGTAGTCCGCGATGTGACGATGGGACGTACTCGCGCGATGGAACGTATGCCGCGATGGACGATGACGTACTCCGCGACGGGACGTAACTCCCGCGACCAGGACGTACTCCGCGATGGACGGGACGTACTCCGGGCGATGGATCGATGGGACGTAGCTCCGCGATGGACGTACTCCGGGCGATGGACTTAACTCCGCGGATGAGCGATGGAACGTACTCCGCGATGACGATGGAGACTACTCGCGCGATGAACGTAAACTCCGCGATGTACGTACTCCGGCGATGGACGTTACTCGGCGATGGAGCGTACTCCGGGGATGGACGTACGTCCTGGCGATGGACAATGGACGTAACTTCGCGAGCGGACGTACTCCGCGACGGAACGGTACTCCAGCGATGGACGAATGGAACGTACTCCGGGGCGATGGACGTACTCCGGCGACGACGAGTGGACGTACTCGCGATGGACAGATGACGTACTGCCGCGATGGACGTTATCTCCAGCGACGGACTACTTCCGCGATGGATCGTACTCTTGGCGATGGACAGTACTCCGCGATGGACGTCTCCGCCAGTGGACGTACTCCGCGATGGACGTACTCCGCGATGGACGTACTCCGCGATGGACGATGGACGTACTCCGCGATGGACGATGGACGTACTCCGCGATGGACGTACTCCGGGTCGATGGAGCGTAAGCATCTGCGATTGGACGTACTCCGGGCGATGGACGTACTCCGCGATGGACGATGGACGTACTCCGCGATGGACGTACTCCGCGATGGACGTACTCCGCGATGGACGTACTCCGCGATGGACGTACTCCGCGATGGACGTACTCCGCGATGGACGATGGACGTACTCCGCGATGGACGTACTCCGCGACGCGACCGTACTCCGGCGATGGACGTACTGCCGCGATGGATC